ACTCCTGTGTAGTAGGTGTGGTGAATGACAAGGCTTCAACACCCACGAGAAGAGGAATACTTAGTCTACACTTCAACATGTCGATGGGGTAGGGCCTCGCAATATTTGTTGGTTTTGTGGGGCAGGAATGGCGGTGGTATCGCTCAGTGTGTTGGCACGCGTATTTCTTCTTGATCTATTATGTTCTCCTACCGAGTTCTTCCGTTGTTGCCGTAGCAACAAAGTCCATTAGGAGTGGGTCGATGCGAGAACCGGGTGGCCACAAATTAGAATATGGTAGTCTGCATAACAGTAGTAATGTTCCATGTGTAAGATAAAAACGACAAATAAACACCATGGCGCGGGCACACATCTCGGTTCTAAACAGAAACCGATGCCCCATCGTGACGCAGGAACAGTTTTTATGTAACAGCACTGCTGTTGCGATGGCGTACCGTACCGATTCTGGTAAAAGTCAATCGACGGATACCCTGCGAACTGGGTCCTCCTTAACACCAACACATGCAAAGACAAGACGGTGGTGAACCTTATTTATACCGTTTCGCACGGCGGTTGATGGATGCCTCCAAAACAGAAATAAACAATGATCCACCTGCACATGACCTCACCTTTCCCCCTCTCCCACTTGCTCCCACCCCCCCAGACCACCAAAATAATCCTCCACCAAAGTGCCCTCAGATCGCGCTGCGCGCCCAAGACCCAACCATCGCAGCACAACACGTCCGTCCTCTCTTATGTGCCAGAGCCCGATCCTGCGTGTTGAAGATGCAGGCCTCGGCAGAGCACCTGTTTCCAACGGAAGCTACGTAGCTTCGGCAGCCAGCGGTGGGTTGACCACAGGCGAGAAAGATTACCATGCATATGATGTGTAGACAGCCTCATTTGCTTCACTCTCCCAGAGCTCTCAGAATGCTCTGTTGACCCTCTCGGCCGGGCGTTGAGATTGCGGCTGCTAGAAGAAATAGGCACATCGCCGCTCTCTGTGTTGTCGGCTTCCCGCTCTTGGTGTGGGGAAGTGGGCTTGGCTCATGAGAGGATCGCACAACAAACACAGCAGAAGAAAGCCAGAGAAGAAGTCGCTTTCATCGATTGGCTGCCTCTCTCTCAAAGAACCCTACTTCTCCTGCTGTCTCAAGGTACAACTGCAGTACTGCTGTACCCGTAGCAAAGAAGGATTCCTTGCTCTACCGTGCCGCCTGGCTGCCTGCGGTGGAATGGAATGGCTGGCAGCTTGTAGATACAACGGGAAGTTGGGCCAACCAGATGCTGACTGACCTACCACAAATACGCACAAACAGAGCTATTTTTCTGTGTGTGATTTTGTTTTTTTTATCAAACGGTCGTGCATCCCTCATGTACTCTACACCAGTCTATGTTCCGCCGTGTGTGTGTAAAAACATCACGCCCTCCACAGCTTTCCACAGAACGGAAGTCGAGACATGGTAGGCACTCAAAACGAGCCCCACGCTCTCCGCTGCTCTGCTGCATTCCGTACTCTCTATTTGCAAAAGCGGATGATCCAGGAGGCAAGCAAGTCATTTTTCCAAGCTCTTGTTGCATCGATCGCCGCACGCGCAAACTCCGCTTTTCGTGGTAAGCGCCCAGCCGCGTCTTGTAGAAGCTACAACAGGCTCACGCCAAGAGTCTGCAAGTTCGTAGCCACTCTCAGCCGACGACAGAGGGTACAATAGTATGAAAGGTACAGTAGAATCGTGCGCAATGAGTAGAAAGGGATGCACAGGGCAAAGATCCCCGAGGGGTCCACAGGTCCGTGCTAAATGCCGCTGCTGCTGTGTGTGACATGTTTTGTGCGTCTCAAGTCACTCAGCAAAACAACTGCTGCTGTGCCAATCGTGACGCAGCCAGAGACAACGCGTGTAGGTTGGGTTGCTCTTGGATGTATTGCATGTCCATCCGTGCGCGTGGAAAGGTAATCACACTCCACAGGACTCTGATTGAGCTGCGAGGGGCAGCAGCGAGACGCAGGCACACCTCCAAAGTTGAAACTATTCCGCCGCATCCCGCCTCCCGTACATTGGTGTGTTTGTTCCCTGTTTTGCGTGTCGTCATCCTCTACCCAAGACAAGACAAGACAAGAAGAAGGCCGGGGTGCTGCTCTAGCTGCGATGGCCTCTGAAGACCATGCTCCTTGCCTGTGATGTAAGAAGGTACGGGCCGACCTCGCAGCGATTATTGGCGGCATGGCGGGTTGAATAAGCCCTGCCCTGAGAACGAGACCACCAACCATTCTATGCCAGAGGGTCGTGCGAGGTCTCCGTAATCTCCGCTTTATTTGTTGGTCCGCCGGTAGTTACCATCATGATACCAATGTCCACCCTGCAAGTTTGACGTTTTCAGTGACTGGCCGACTGGCCAGCCGAAGTCTCTGTGCTGTCACAACACTATGGCCCGTTTCTATCTCATGCGAAGGGTCCGCTGGTGATATTGCTGCACCGGAGATAGATATGCAACAAATATTGCACGACGTCCCGAGTCCCACAGCTTCTTGTTTGTGTCAGAGCATGTTTCTGCTCGCTCCATGGTTGAAACATTGTTGCTGTTGTGGTGAACTGGTTGTGGTCGTGTAGCACCTTCACGGTGGCCTACCGTCGTATCTAGGGTCTGCCTGCGAAGGGCAAACCCTGGGGTAGAGATGAATATGGAAGCCCACGACCAGTTGTTGTTGTTGTTGACTTCACATTAAACCGTATGCCAGTTGCTAAATGCCAAAATCTAGCAAAGACTCTCAGCCCGTGGTCACGAAAGTGCTAGAACCATCTGAGGATCTAAAGAACACGCACACGTAGCAAGAAAAAGGTATCCAAGAGCCCGAAGAGGTACTACTACACCTATATATAATCCCTGCAGCACCGTACGCGTGCCCAAAACTGAACTACACGTCCGTCTCACCGTTCGACTACAGTAACATCACCCCCTACCTGTCCCACTCTGTACCAAAACGAATGATTGCCGACTACAGCATACTTGCTGTCTGAAGTGCTGTCTGTACAAAAACACCATGGTAGGCATGGAACAAGAAGCTGGCGGGGCACAAAGCTGCTGTCTGAAGTGCTGTCAGAA